GCAGCAACCGCAGAAAACTGAACTTTTGGCGCTCCGCGCGGAGCGCCAAAGTTTATGCTTACGAGTTTTTTGTTCTCCGAGGGAGACCAGACGGTTCCGATACCGTCGCTCCCCGGGCCTCTATCCAGGGGGGTGCGTCCTGCCCAGAACTTCGAGGGACGGTGCCCGGACAAGGACGGTGCCTGGACAAGGGGATAGGCTCAGGAAGACAATCAAGCACGATGGCGACGACGATTGCAATATACATGTGGCTCGCCCGACCTCACCCCCAGACCCCAAGCGGAAGTGTCCATATCTTGCCCCCCGCGCGGTGCCTCGCACCCACCCCCGTCAGCTGTGGGTGTGGGGGGGAGGGGCGGGGGCTTTGGAGCTCTGTTCGACGCAGTGCGGTGTCGTGTCGTATTGGCGCGATGGGCGTGGACGCCTCTTGTCCACCCGCCAAGAGTGCTTCGCCTCTGAGAGCGTGCTCGCCCCGTGCGCCGAGCGCGCCGTGCCGAGGGCCGGGGCAGTCGGACCGAGGAGCGGTGCGCGGAGCGGCGGCGGCCGGGCGGGGCGCACGGTGGGGTCCGTCGTGCCCGCCACGCGGAGGGCCGCGAGGTCGTGCTCTTCCGGACGTGGCGTGGCCGTTTCCTGAGATCTGGCGAGCGTTTTCTTCTTCGGCGTTTCGGCATTGGGCGGGAGGGGGGGGGGAGGGGGGGGGATCTGGCTCCGCACCTCCGCTGAACGACACTGTTTGCGGCGTCCTATGGCGGAGACTCCACCTGCTCGAAACAGGCGCCAAGAAACAGCCGAGATCTACTCCATGGGGATGGGAGGGGGGGTGCGAGGGCCCGCGCCGATCGGCGAACAATGAATAAGAACACGACGACCTGGGCGTTGCAAACTTCTCTCATCGGTCGCGTTCGCCACTTCGGGGCCCAGGACGATCGCAGATCGATCCTGCTCGAAGAACGATGCAGACAGTTTCGGTCAACCGCTGTGGACTTGATTTTCACGATGTTGCATTTTCTCCAGCGTCGGATCTCAAGGCTCGAGCGCATCATCACCAAGGTGGTCATTGTGGAGTCGGAAACTGCAGATCGTGCACACACGCCAGCATCGGTCAGGCTGGCGAAGTACGACGTTTGTGCCCGCCGCGTGGGAGGCCAAGGGGTCCGACGTCGACACGAGCATGGGGTAGCCGTTCGAGCCCGCCCTCGCAAAGATGGGCAAGAATAGAAGTCAGAAAGACAAGGCTCTCGCGTCACGTGCTCCTGAGAGAGAGAGCTGCTGACGCCAGACGGCCGTGACGACGACTAGCCTGGTGCCACCCGTCGATCCCGTGGTCACGAAGCTGGGAAGCCTGGCATCGACGAAGCGGTGCACGCAGTGTCAGGAGGCATGCGTTTGACAGAAAATCGATATATCATGCCATGCTTCGCCACGCTCTCTTGCAGGGGCGTGTGTCGATTACCTTGAAGTCGGGCCTGTCCTTCTACAGGGGGATTCTGGACGATAAAACCAATTATCAAAAACTATCTCAAATTGGCAAAAAAAGCTGAACATCGTCCCCTGACTATTTGTCGACTACTTTGTGCTATTCCTCCTGTAGAGGGACAGGCCCGACTTAAGGTTACCTGGCAGCTGAGGACGCGCATAGCTGGACTCGCTCGCGGGCTCGCGGGCTGGGCCATGGCGAGGCCGGGCGCTGAAAGCAGACAGGGCCCCTGGGCTTAAGTCGGGCACGTCCCTCTACAGGAGGAATACTCCCAGCATAAAAAATCTGGGGACGATTTGTTTTGACTATTTTTGGCTATTTCTATGCTTACCTGTCGTCCAAAATCCGCCTGTAGGGGGGACATGCCCGACCTAACACTGGGCCAGCCGCGACAATCCCCCGCCTATCTACCCTGCGGTCTCCAAGCAGCTCCTGCCTCACGGCTCTGGGGGAGCGGCGGATCCCTGCCGTGTCTCGCGGCTCCTTCGTTCCCTCGGCGAAGACGTTCGATCGACGTGTCGTATTCATCCGCATTCCCGCTCTCCTCATTATCTATCGTCCTTGCTCCTTTCTCTTTATCTTCCCTCTCCAATTCCGAATTCAACTCCTCTTTCACCTCCTCGACCCTCTCCTTGTTGTTCCCCTGGCCCCCCCCCCCCTCCAACTCCAGCTGCAGCTCCCTTTCCGCACCTGCCATTCGACCGATTTCGTGTCGCGCCCTTACCTTTCACGTCGACGTGCGCGACTAGCGTGCCCTGGTGAACTCCGCGATAGACAGTTCCGACGCAACTGGACACTCGACGAGCATGAGCGGTCAATGTTCGAAGTCCTTGAAGACCCAGACCACCGACGCCATGTTTTTGTTCGCAACGCCGACGCCCCGAGCTCTGAGCCCCTTCCCCAGGGCCGCTTCTCATTTGGAGTGTATCAGGACGGGCCAGGGTCCAGGGCGAGGTCGGGCATGTGCCCCTGCAGGCGGAGCTTGGACGAAACATCAAAAAGACTCAGAACAGACTCAAAACT